AGACAGATGAAATAACTCCTCTGAGGCTGGTGTCCCATCACCAAGTCACCCCTTATTTTCATGTGGAAAGTCCTCAATATTGATCCAGCTCCCTTGAAGCCAGCTGTCCAACTGAGCAGAATCTCTGACACTCCTGTTTATATCTGTCAGCGAGGCTTCCTGATTGGACCAGATTAACAGCTCCAATCAGGGAACTCATCCAAGAGGTCCACCTGGTTGACCTTGTTTTAATCACTTTGGCAGAGAGAGAGATGTAGGTGACTCAGAGTAGGGATAGTACAGTCTCAGATATACCAAAGATTTTCAAAGAAATTTCAAAGTTTTAACCATTTTTCCTACATTTGCACCTGGTGCTACCTTTATGGTTTTAGTAGAGGTATATAAGGAACTAAATTGACTGCTCTGCTTTGACCAATAAGATGCTTTCTTTTATTCACTCATGGGACGTGAGCACCACTGGCTGGCTGGCTGGTAGTTCTCCTATTACACAATAGTTGCGTCCTTGCATGACCTTGCGCTATAGAAAATCACCATAGAAAATCACGTTATAAGAAAGTTACTGTATCTGTACAGCAGAAAGTTTGTGTTATCCATATAGTGTCCACTATTCATCAATTGTGTTACAGCCAATTTGCAATAACAAAATATGCATTTTAGCAGAACTATCTGTATTGCCTGTCCCTCGCTGCCCTTGAGAAGGTGGTGCTGAGCCACCTTCTTCAACTACTGCAGTCTACTAGCTGTAGGTTGACCTACAATGCCCTCAGGGAGGTGTGCAGATAGGCCTTAGATATGGTGTATAAGAAATGAAAGCCAGGAGGTCTGGGTAACGGCAGAGGCTTCTCCTCTTTGTGTTCCCCAAGAAAGGTGCTTGTGAGCTGGGTTGCATAAATATTGGAAGGACTGGATGCCTTGAGCCTCACTTGACAAAACGTTTTAACTGAAAGGGGGAAAGTTCCACCTAATATGTCTGAGGCTGTATGTAGTTGTGAGCTTTGTGACCTGCAGAAAGCTATCTTTAGTCCTTTGGAACTCCCTGGTATCCTGTGGTCCTACAAGAAAAGATGTATAAGTGCAATGGGATGTACTCATGATGGAAATGCATGAAACCACTTAAGGATAAAGATACCCTAGACTTAGGTGCAAATGTGCAATTTTGAAAATTGTAGATGACGTAAAATTTTGAAGTATTCTGAACTGCAAGGAAGATCATAATAAAACTTCACGAAAATGAAGACAGGCCCATATAATGACACTACAATAGACAAATTGTACTTAATCCAGAATTGCAAAGTGATTCATTTTGTAGCGGGAATGAGGAAGGCTGATATGAAACAAAGGGCACAAGTACAAGGGAGTGAAGGAGCTGAGGGATCTGGGCATATGATATATGCACAAATCATTGAAGGCAACAGGGCAGGTTGAGAAAGTGGCTAATAAAGTATAGGAGATCATGGGTTTTATGAGTAGGCTAATGTTATGGTCTCAGCTGATGTTATTACTGGAAAAATCAGATCCCAAACTGATATATGCTTCAATAGAGATAGTAAGAACTGCAGATGCTGGAGTCAGAGATAACACAGTGTGCAGCTGGAGGAACACACTGTTTCTGAACAAGGGTCCCGACCCCAAACGTCGGCTTTCCTGTTCCTGTGATGCTGCCGGGCCTGCTGTATTCCACCAGTTCCACACTGCGTTATCTCTGGTTCTGTAGAGTTTTTTTTTGTTTTAATGAGTTGATCATATGCTGAAACACGAATATGCAATGCTACAGATTTGGCTTTAGTGATAAAACCAAAGTTTATTTCACAAAAGAAATGAAGATAAAATAGTTAACCAAATTATTTACACCTAACACAAATGTAAAGAGTTTGAAACACATGGTAAAATGCAATCGCATTAATCTCAAAGCACTCTTTTGCAGTACTCAAATCAGAGAGAATTCCCTTCATTACCCCAGATCGGGTTTGACTCACCTATGTTTCACTTCCCAGTCTTGAGCATCAGATAGCCTCTTCCTTGATTCTCATGTAACTGAGCATGGATTTTCTCACTTCTGGTATGGAGCATTCAAACTAAACTCCTTACACTAAAGTAACCTCTTTCATAATGAACCTAAACCGCCTCCTTTTCTCAGGAGCAACTGTTTTATACGACCAGCTTCAACCAAGATCTCTGAAAACTGCCCCCATCTGAAACAGAAAAACTTTTTTCCCCCCAAGCTATGGGTGTTTCCCCTCATCAACAGAGAAATAAAAAAATCAATCCTTGATCTTCAAATGCACAACTGGTTATTTTCTTCGGTTGTAAAAACCTCTCGGTGTAAACAAATTCCCATTAACCTGCCAGAACATTCTCCCTCAGACTATTTAAAAAGAAAGATAAACTACTATGGCTACAGAAATACCTGCAAGTTAATCATTGAACTCTTTCAAACTTACAGAAAACCGATGTACAACTAGGTCAAAATTCTAAAATCCAAAATAAATGATATTGAAACATGTATAATTCATATACCTTACATTATACTATATGGCACAAATGCAAGAAATTTATGATAAACCAGTTTAAGGAACTGGTTTCATGTCCACTGGGTAATAAGCATAGTGCTAGGTAATACGCTTTATAAAGGATGTGAAGACATTAGAGAGAGTTCAGAAAGGATTTATAAGAATGATTCCACGAATGACAAACTTCAGTTATGTGGATATAATCAAGCAGCAGAGGTTGTTATCTTTGAAGATGAGAAGTTTAACAGGAAATTTGATGGAGTACTTCAAAATTGTGAGGAGCTGGAAAAGTAGATAGGGAGAAACTGCTTCTGTTTACGGTAAGATCTAGAATCAAAGGGTAGCGATTTAAGGTGATTGGAAATAAAACACAAAACTAATATATACAGCATGAGTTTAGGATGTGGAATGCACTGCCTGAGCATGTGGTGTAGGAAAATTCACTTGTTGTTTTTGAAGGAGAATTGGACAATTGTCTGAAGAAGGAAAATTTGCAGGCTTTGGATACAGGCTAAGGAGTCAGATTAAGTGAGTCGCTGTTTTAACGTGCTGGCTGAATGGTCTCCTTATGTGCAGTACCCAATCAATGATTGTGTGACCTATTGATCTTATGAATGATGCCTTAAAGAAGTTAAAGCACCTGTAATCATCTAAAATTAGGAACTATCTTCTTGAAATGTACAGAATTAGGCGCACAGTTGATTCCTCAAGTTCAAAATCCCATCTCTCTGTGATAGAATTTTTCTTTGGCATGATTGCATTTCACTGTTTGGCTTGTGTACAGTTACATTTCCCAAATGATGTGTGCAGTATGTATAGTATATGTACTCTGCTTGATTTTCAGATCAAAAGTGCATTTGTATTCATGACAGTATACATTTAAAGATGCGGCATTTAAAGAAGATTCATTTGTCCCACATGTTGTAATTTTTAAAAAATCAGTTCTAGGCATTGCATATATACAGACATGGACAAAGTAAATTTTAATTTATTCCTAATCACACTATTTGTATATGATTACAATGCAATCTACATGGACTGAACTATATGGACACAAAAGTTCATAGTTGAAGAACTTATTGTGATTTAACCATCTCAGATAGGGCAGCAGTGGGCATCATAAGTCGCTTTGACATTGTTGATTTAAGGAGCAGTCCAATTTCACATGGGTTTCCATGTTTGGTATCTCTTATCTGTTTTTGCACATTTGTTTGCTGATTGACAGCCAGATTGGATTCAGAAAGATGCTTTCCTGGGGTTTTGCAGCCTGTCAGGTTCACAATCCAGATTGATAATCATGAGAAATAGAGAAACATAGAAAATATGTGCAGGAGCAGGCCATTCAGCCCATCAAGCCTGTGCCACCATTCAATATGATCATGCTGAAATGATATATCTCAGCTTAACTAAGCACTTTCAACAAAAGCCTGCTTTAACACAGCAAAATCACTCAAAATGTTTCTCAGAAAACCTTCCTAATAAAATTTGATAGCAGGCTATAACAGGAGATGTTGGGTACACGAGAGGGATGTTGTAAGGAGCAACGTAATGGAAGAAGGTGAGAAGAAATTCCAGAGCACAGGCCCTTAGCAATTGAAGGTATATTCACCAATTGTAGAATGCTTATAACAACGTTGCTCAAATGGCCATGATGGGAGGAATGCAGATTTCCCCCAGAGACTTTTAAGACTGGACAAAATCAGAGGCAGATTTAAAACAGAAAAATGGGACCTTCAGTCTACACTAATGCATGAAAAACACATGGATCCTGATGAAGATTGTTACCAAAAAACACATTCTATTCGGTTTGATGACATCATTCATCTGGTGCACAGCTCTTACGAAGGACTGAGATGGTGGTCATATAACATACAAATAAATCAGATAATGAAAATCATCTCAATAGTCTGAAAATGCTCAAACAATGACACTTGATGTGCATTTTATGTTCAATGCATAAATTTCTAATTTTAAATGTATATCTACCTTGAGATGAGTGGGTAAGAGCAGAGAAATTGGACTCACTAGAGGTTATTATTAGATTTAGCAACTCTCTTGAAACAAATGGGTAATATGAAATAATAACTATGGAAATTGGTGTGTATTTAATGTATTTAGTGATCTCAACCCAACTGTTATATTTAATAGAATATATACAAGTGGGACAAAGACCAGGTGGCACCTGAAATAATGCCTTGAACATTTTTTGACAAATTACTGTAATGATCATGATATTTCAAATTCTAAGATTAATTTTTAGCCTTTGAGTGAAAGGACTGCAACTTTTCACATTGTGTTATGCACCATAGAGTACTGAAATAACAACACTAAAACATTTCTCTATTTTGTTGCTGAATGTTATAAATAAAATGTATGTGGTTGAACACAAAGTAGAGACCATAGGGTCTGCAATATCAAAATATTCCACTTTTCTTATTTGTAGCCAAAAGACAGGTGGCTGTTGCATTAACCACATGTATTTCTGTATAGTTGTTCTGCAGGTATGTGGACTCATTTTGTACCCAATCAAATTTGTGGAAACAGCTACCATGCGAACATATCATGAATTCAACTGGGGATACGGCATTGCCTGGGGAGCTACCATCTTCTCATTTGGGGGAGCTGTGCTTTACTGCTTAAACCCGAAGAACTATGATGACTACTACTAGAGTAGAACTGATTCCACTGACATACTTAAAGTAGAGCTCACTACTTATGCTTACTTGCTGTTCTTTCAGTTGAAGTGTGGCATTTAACCTGCTCTATCAATGCATTATCCACTTTGACTTCAACGAAGATAATTGCTTTAACTCCTGCACCAGGCTTTAAAAAAGTTCTGGAAAAGTTATAGCTGTAATGTTTGTACATTGGCAGTTTTACATATGGAGAGCTGGAATGCAGACTTTTGGTAATGTGTCATTATCTAAGAAGAATCACAGAAGAGCTTGGCTTATAGTGAAGAATATTAAACAAAAACCACAGCTGCAAGATGTTAATTTCAATCTGTCTGCAGAGAAAGAACTTACCCTAAGTATGATAGTTTTGTGTTCCCTGTATTGAGGCTGGGAACTTATGCTTCATTTTTGGATTTCGTTCAGATAAAGTAACATCTGCTGATTGCTCTGTGGTAACAAGAAAAAGTGCATGCTTGTATCCATTTACCATTATTCAGCAACATCTTCTGTAAACTTCTTGTGTCCTAACGCAAAGTAGACCTCTATTACTCTTGTTTATAATTATTGCAATGTGTTTGGAACAACAGTCCGACTGCTGTGCTGAAGTTCCATTTGTATTGTCAAACTAAAATTGCGGCATTTTCTCTATCATTTTCTTATGCCTAAAAATAAATTTTATGAAATATCTTTAAAGATTAAAAAACAACACATGTATGTATACCTGGAAGCCTCTTGATTCGAAACCCGGGTGAGCATTTTGGTGAGTTGGATTGTCAGAAAAGAGCTTGTATACTATTCTAAGCATTCTAATTTATTTGAGCAACTACTGTATTTTTATATGGACCTCTGCACACAATTTCCTGAATCTTGTATAGTGTTCCTTAAACTGTGCCTAAAAATACTTATTTTGACTTACGTCCAAGATAAATATCATATTTCCAGCTATTTGTTACCTCTTTCTTTCTCTGTAACTTTCCTTTTAAGAATAAATATAGATCCATAAATATGTTTACTTATGATAAAAAGACTATTTTGGGAAAGTAAAGATTTTTTGTTTCGGCTGTAAAATATGGCATCGATACAATGAATCAATAAAACTGTGCAGAATAAAAGGCCTACATACTTAATTGATCATTTTATTATTATTTTCTAATGATAATTACATATGATATTTTACAGGTTTGGTTCTATGACTTATTTTAAAACTATTCTTATGTGTATAATAGAATATGCTGCATGTTTAAACTCCCATCAATATTTCCTTCAGTTGTGCGTTGCAAAATTGATGGTCTCAGCAACAAGCGTTTCCTTGGCATACACGAACTTCAACAAACAGGACACATGAAGTAACCAATAAATGCGCTCCAAGTTGCAACAACAGTGGATGCTGCCATACTTTTTATAATGTAACATAATTATGCTCATATCACTGGCAGGAAACCTGCCTTATGGTTTATTGCAATCAGCAACTGGTAAAATACTAGCGTTGCTATTTGTTTGAAGCAAGAGTGATAGTTTGCAAAGCAATTTCACCAAATTAGTCTTACAGGAACAGGAGGTCCAACGAGATTGTTCAACCATTCAAATCAATGCCTGAACTGTGGTCTTGTTGTATTTACCCACTTTTGCCTCATTTCCTGTTAAACCTTTGTTTTTTTCTCATCAATCAATTTCAGATTTAAAACTGAACACCTGATCCAGAGAGAATGTTAGAAAAACAAGTGAGAAGATGAATAGGCAGGATGGGAAGGGGCATAAGGTAAGAAAGTAGGGTGGATGAGGGTAGGTGGGCTGCTTGGCAGGTGGATGGGTGGTGGCTGGGTAGAGTTAACAGGTGGGTCAGGGCATGAAGTGGTAAGTGGCTAACTGTGTTTGGGATGAGCTTTCCGGCGAGGTTCTAGTCAGATTGAATCAGGTACTAATTGAGTTGTGAGGCTAGTCAGGTCTATTTGAAGGGGTGTCGTTGAGTTGTGGAGACGAGTCAAGTTCTGTTGGCGGGGGATGTTTATGGAGTTGGAGATTGGGAGAGCAGTCATCTTAGGTTGGGGGTTGTCAGGAGTCTGGGGATGCTAGGGAGCTAACAGTCTAGTCAGGGACTTGATATTGAGTCAAGTGTTTGAGATAGTTACTGTCCAGTTAAGTCTACTGGAACTGTCAAAGTCTCCAGCATTTCCAAAGATTCCAGGCTACAGGGGAATTGTTCATCAGAAGTTCAAATTTCCTGGGCAATTTTTAAAAAATTCATACATGGGATGAGAGCATCATTGGCTGAACCAACATTTATTGCCCATCCCAAGGAGTCAACCACATTGTGGGTCTGGAGTCACATACATGTTAAACCAGGTAAGGATGACAGTTAGCCTGGCACATTGACCATGTGGTTACCTCAGCCTCTCCTGCTGACACCTCCGACGTCGTCACTTCCACCAACACTGTTTACATCACTTCCTGCTGCTGCTGACCATACTGCTGCTACCACCGATATGGTCACTTGGGCTCCTGAGACAGTCTCCACCCCTGCTCCCAGCTCTACCTGTACACCCAGCCCCAGCCCCTAATGCTGCTGGGTCTTCACCATCCCCCTCAGACCTCCCCCTCACTGAGGACGAATGATCAGTCCTCAGCAAAGGGCTCACCTTCATTTCCCTGCGCCAACACGTCCGTGGATTCTGTTCATGTTTGGATGTTGAACTCTTTTTCTGCCACCTCTGCACCTATTTCTTTAACTGCATGTCTAACTCACCCTCTGCCAACCCCTTCTCCCGCTTCCAACAAACACCATCCTCCTGGACACCACCCTGTGGCCGCCTACCCTCCCTCAACCTCTTTGTCTCCAACTGCTGTAGCAACATCGATCGTTTCAATCTCTCCATCCCTCTCACTCACTCCAACCTCTCCCCTACGGAACGTGCAGCCCTCCGCTCCAACCCTAACCTCACCATCAAACCCACAGATCAAGGGGGGGGCGCACAGTAGAGGTATGGCGCACTGACCTTTACATCGCTGAGGCTTGGTGCCAACTCTCTGAGTCCTCCCCCTATTGCCCCCTTGATTATGCCCCACTCCTGACCACCAAACCATCGTCTCTCAAACCATTCATAACTTCATCACCTCAAGTGACATCCCACCCACAGCCTCCAACCTCATCGTTCCCCAGTCCTCCATCACCCGTTTCTATCTCCTTCCCAAAATCCACAAATCTGTCTCTGCCTCCTCCTGCCCCACTGAACTCATCTTGGCTTACCTTGGCTCTGTTTTTCTCCCCCCCCCCAACAGTCCAGGAACTCCCCACCGACGTCCGGGACACTACCCGCGCCCTCCACCTCCTCCAAGAATTCCAATTCCCTGGCCCCCAACACCTTATCTTCACTATGGACATCCAATCCCTGTACACTTGTATCCCCCACACAGATGACCTAAAAGCCCTCCGCTTCTTCCTGTCCCACAGGCCCAACCAGTCCCCCTCCACTGACCCCCTCATCCACTTAACAGAACTTGTCCTTCCCCTGAAAAACTTCTCCTTTAACTCCTCCCACTTACTACAGACAAAGGGGGTGGCCATGTGTACCTGCATGGGCCCAAGCTATGCCTGCCTCTTGTAGGATATGTGGAACAGACCCTTTTCTGCTGTTACTCTGGCACTATCCTCCACCTCTTCCTCCACTACATTGACAACTGTATTGGCGCTGCCTCGTGCTCCCACGAGGAGCTTGCACAGTTCATCAACTTTACTAACACCTTTCACCCCAACCTCAAATTCACCTGGACCATCTCCGATACCTCCCTCTTCATCCTGGACCTCTCTGTCTCCGTCTCTGGTGACCACCTCGACAGTGACATCTATTTCAAGCCCACTGACTCCCACAGCAACCTAGACTGCACCTCCTCTTACCCATCTTCCTGCAAGAATGCGATCCCCTACTCCCAATTCCTCCACCTCTGCCACGTCTGCTCCCAAGACAGAGCATTCCGCTCCCAGACATCCCAGAAGCCCTCCTGTTTCAACAACTACAACGTTCCCCCTCTGGTGCACTCAACCACATCTTTTGCATTTCCCGCACTTCTCCCTCAAAACCCTTCCCACAACACAAATAAAGACAGAGTCAACCTGGTCTTCACATTTCACCAACCTCCGTATCCAGCGTATCATTCTCCACCATTTCCGCCACCTACAATCCGACCTCACAACCAAAGAGATATTTCCCTCCCCACCCCTATCTGCCTTTCGGAGAGACCGCTCTCTCTGCGACTCCTTTGTCCGCTCCACACTCTCCACTAACCCTACCACACCCGGCACTTTCCCCTGCAACCACAGGAAGGGCTACACCTGCCCCTACACCTACCCCCTCACCTCCATTCAAGGCCCAAAGCAAACCTTTCACATCAGATCATTGGTTCACCTGCACATCTGTCAACTTGGTCCACTGTATCCACTGCTCCCGATTTGGCCTCCTCTACATCGGTGAGACCAAGCATCGACTCGGAGACTGTTTTGTAGAGCATCTGTGCTCTGTACATGACAAATGACAACACATTCAAGTCGCCAACCATTTTAACACCCTCTCCCACTCCTTGGGTAACGTGTCCATCCTGGGTCTCCTCCAGTGTCACAATGACACTACATGCAAACTGGAGGAGCAACACCTCATATTCTGTCTCGGGAGCCTACAGCCCAATGGCCTAAACATAGAATTCACCAGTTTTAAAATCTCCCCACCCTCGGCCTCATCCCATGTCCAACCCTCCCTCTCATCCCTGCCTCCTTGACCTGACACAATCTGTCCATCTTCTCTCCCACCTATTGGCCTCGCCCACCCACTGACCAATCCCTGCCACTCCCTACCTGCATTCACCTATCACCATCCGACCTACCTTCCCCAGCCCCACCCCTCCTCTCTCTATTTATTTCCCAGCTCCCTTTGCCCTCCCCATTTCTGAAGAAGTGTCCTGACCCAAAATGTCAACTTTCCTGCTCCCCTGATGCTGCCTGGCTGGCTCTGTTCCTCTAGCTCCTCACTGTGTTGTCTCTGACTCCAGCATTGGCAGTTCTTGCTATTTCTGAGTGAACCAGACTGGTTTTTCTGACAATCAACTCAATTCTGACTCTCAATTCCAGATTTTGGTGAATTCCAAATCCACCATCAGCCATGGCAGGTCTCCAGAACATTACCTAGGTCTCTGGATTAACAGTCCAGTGATAATACCGCCAGGTCATCACCTTCACATGGAGGTTAGTACATTATGAATTCCCTGGGTTTCAATTTTGGATCATACACCTGGCTTTGAGCAATTCTAAAACTGGAAGACCTGTGCCATTACTTTTTGGAATTTAATGCCTCCATTTACTCTGATTACATAAAGCCCAAAATTTCATCAGCACGTGTTTGGATATTTAGCTTTCTATTCCCTCATCTGAAAACTATTATCATAGTAATTCTTATGATACCGATGGACATAGGAAAAGAAGGATGAGAAAATGCCACCAGTCCTATTAAGTCAACCTCATCACAATCTATCAAAACCTTCCTCACATAGTCTAATAAGAGAGGGAAAACAAAATTTGGGTTGTAGCTTAAATTGTTGGAACGCTCCTCTCCAGCCCTTTGAAGTTTGAGAAAATTCTTGTGGCCTTTTAATTATTATTACACTGGTACCTTGGTGGTCAGCCCAATTTAAACATCACCTGAAGGCCCCATGTTCTACTCTGTCATGGCAGCTGTATTGGCTGCAGATGAATTCTGAGGGCTGAAGGATAGCAGGAATCACTGGCCGCTGTCATCTCAGGGCCTGCATCTTAGCCAACTGAGCTTCGCATTTTACCTCACATCTTCCATTGCCCCTCTAAACAGTCAGCCTCCATATGTCCAGCCACCAGCGACTATGCTCCAATTAACTATGTCAATGTTGGCCATTTTCATATCTTTATTTCAGCTGTCCTTACATCAAAGGCATGGAGTCATACATCACGGAAACAGACACTTCAGTCTAATCAGTCTATGCCAAAGATAATTCTATACTGAACTAGTCCCACCTGTCTGCTCCTGGCTCATATCCCTCTAAACCTTTCCTTTTCATGTACTTGTCCAAATGTCTTTTAAACATTGTAACTGTACCTGCATCCATCACT